ATTGATTAATTACGTTTACCCTTTTTTCTTTGAAGTTACTTTCACTCGTTAAAGTAAAATTTTCATAAACGAACGTGAAATTATTTCTGAAAACTCCTGTATATCGAAAAGAATAGAGAGTTTTTCTAAAGTTTACGTGCACAAGCTGTGTGCGTATATGTGTGTTTAAGCACACGTGCGCGCGTCCCGTTCGTGGTTGAACAACTGCATCCGTGCCAAGAATTCACTTCTGCTTTATCCCTTTCGAGGGGGTGAGGTTGACCCCCTACATAGCACTTCTTTCACAAACTACTGTGCGCAAACCTGTGGATATATTCTCAACGCGGTAGAAAGTTTCCGACTTCCTGTTTAAGTAAACGTTCCCTAAATACCAATAATACACAACGATTCTCTCATCGTTGCTCATCCAAACAATTGCGTTGATAATCTCACAGTTTGTTTACTGTTTGAACAGAACGATTTGCTCGCCACTGAATTCCAATCACGGTTGTTCTCTTAAACATAATCGCATAAACACATTTTTGTGTACGATAATCCGTCGATGAAGAGGAGCTGATATCATCATTATCGATATTAATTAATGACCGGTGTTGTACAACAGAGATAACTGTGCTTATAATATTTACATACGCTAAAAAATTGTATAGAAATGTACATCGCTGTTGTTAGATGGCAGCACAGGTTTGAATCCAGTGGAAAAAAAAAAAAACAGAGGATCATCAGTGTGCAGAAAAATGTAGATGTCGTATTTAAAGAATTTCAGATATTCACTCTCTCCTTTATTTCATCTCTTACGTCATCCTCAATATTGGCGTGCCCTCGTGAATATTACAAATTTCGATTGGAAAAATAAATTTCTTCCTAAAAAATCCACCGTACACAAACTGCAGTACAATTACACAATGATTTACGATTCCCTTTAAATCTTTCCTCTGCTTGTCTCGCAAAGAGAAAAATGCATGAAAGGAAAACGATGGAAAAGGTGCAACATCAAACGGCATATGCGATCGGCGTTGCAACACGCGCGCAAATATAGGGAGCTCCAGGTGCCATCCAGAATTTATTGCGCGTTTAATGAGCGTCAAATCCTTCCGTATGAGATATACGAGGATTAGAAAATCATAATTCTCGGCGATTAAACGGGAGATATTTACAGAAAGGATTTCTCTCTCTCTCTTTCTCTCTCTCTCCCTCGTACAATCTTAATAACGAATTTTCGTTTCCCCGATAGCGGAGCGTAATTAATTCCCGCAAGGGGAGAAATTAAACTAATCCACCCTTGCTCCTCTCACGACAAAAACATTTGCTCGACAATTTGGAAACGTTAGACGAAATCTCTGCGTGCGTACGGGGCTAAATGAAATTCGAATAAACGCCGAAGCATCGCTCCTGGGACGGGCGAGAAACTCTGGAACCGTTATTTCTCTTTGAATCCTGCACAATCCTTGCAAAAGCTGAACACGGTTGGCTCAGAAATTTTGATGTTGGAGTTAAGTTTATTATTTTAAATCTGTATTCGTGCGAGTAATAGCGAGAGAATTTATCGCGATGAATAATAATTCGAGGGATAATAGTTAATGTTTTTGAAATGAATTGAATGTGTGATTTTTATCATATTTGGAAAGGAATATTGTGAATTATTCTTGATTGAAGGATAAATACACGGCTTCGATCAAAGTGAAATTATTATCCATTTGGATACATTTAAGCGTATGTGGATTTATTACAATAATAAATTTAATTGTGATATTAATAATTTTGAAAATTGAGAAATCTGAAGCGTGATTGTTGATCGGCTCTAGCCGATCATAGGAAATGATCGTTTCGTTTATTATCGTAGGGACGAATTTATAGCACGATCGATTCAATTTTAACTTCTCCGCGTTGTTCCGCGTTCCTTGATTGTTTTTCGGTAATTCGAGGCAAGACTGGGAAAATACGAGTTGCATCAAGAAGAAAAACAAACGGCGCCAATGGGGGGAACGATTCGATAAACGCAAAGGGAGAAAGCGGAACGTTAGATTGATATTTACCCGGGTCTGTAGCAACAATTCCGGTGTCGTTTAAACATCGATTAACTCCATCAACACGAAAGAACTTTTAGAAACATCTTTTATTTATAGTTCCATTCCATTCCAACCTTTTCGTATCCCTTTTGTAATAGGTAGATAAATATTGTAGTAGTTGGCCACAAGGAAGAGGAGCGATGTTTGACAAAACATCTACAGACTGCAAGCTATTGTACTGTATTGCTTGTCTCATTTATTTATTGAGAAAATTAATCAATAGGAATATTATCAAGTCGGCACGGCTTTGAAAATTCATGGCGAATATTTATTTTCAAATTGCTTGCACTTTGAACCTTCGATCAATGCAGATCTCAAGCCGTCGAGCTTCCTATACTCCCCAAAAATATTCCAGATTGCTATTCGCAACAATTTTAACATTTATCCTCCACGATATTTCTCACTCTATCCTCACAAAATACAAAATCTTCGCAATTCTCAACACAGAATTTCAACACCTCACTCGTCATTTTCCAATTTTATTCATCGACAATCAACCAATCAACTTCTCTTCTAAAAAAAAAAAGCACAAATTCATAGTCTCGTCGCGGCAAAACAATCCCCATTTCCAAGAGAAATCATCTCTTGCAATCTCGAAGAAGAAAGGGGAGGCTGCTCGAACTTTCAACGAACTAAGTCGAGTGCTAAATAATTATCCCAATTCCGCCTAAGGTGTGCGCGACTCTCCCCATTTTGGCCAGCGCCCCGTTCAACCCAGGGATAAATTACCATCCTGGCGTAATGGTTCTGTCTAATTTACGAAGGTGGAAATTAAAGTTTTTTTCATAGATCTCCGTCGATGCTCGTAATAACTCGCCGTCCATACACCACCCTCTAATTCTCTCCCTCCACGCCATTTTTTTCTCTGAGAATCGAGAAATCCGATTTCTTCGACCGGGAAGAGGCTCGAAACTTTAAGGAGCAAGAGTAAGAAGGAACGATGGAGGAACTAATCGCACTTTCGACCGCTCCTTTCGTGCCCTTAAATATTGGCCGTCGATGGAATATTTCATCAAGCGAGGAACTTTCATCCCCTCGATTCAGACGCATCCAAAGCATCTTTGAGAGATATTTTCTCTTCGATATTTCCTTGGACGAAGTGCCCTAGCAGGGAAGAGTGAATTCGAATTTATATTTCGGTATCCTGTTGCGTGGATGTATAAGGAAACTATAAAGATATAGTTTGATACGTGAATCGATATATCGGAGCAATTATTAACAGGATGGAGATACAATGAATCAAGAATCTAATTTGAAATCGTTTTCTAAAATTTTGGTACGTTTCAAGCGAGTATTTTAACAAATAAGTTATTGGAACAATTTTAGAATATAATGAATCATGCATGGAGCAATACTTTTATATTAACAGAAGGAGTAAAACTTTAAATGTGTAAAATATTTCAAAGCTCCTTGCACACCTATATATAACTATCATGATTGTATTTTCCATAACTTTCGTGAATTATATGTCAAAATGTTTCAATCATTTCCAAACATAATACAATTCAATTACGAATTCATAAACGAAATTTCCACTTACAAATGCCCAACTCACACAACGGGAAAGACAGAACGTGTACGAGAAGCAACTAGGATCATTGAATCAGAGATACCTGGAGGAGTGTATAACGTGTCCAGACCAATTCTGTGTCTGGCAATAGGGCCGATTCGATAAGCCCTTAATCCATTGGCAATTAATCCACACAGTGGGCAACGCAACCCCTTCAAACCCCTACAGTTAGCGCCACCTACGTGTAAATGATCGTTGTCTCTGTCTGCCTTCAACGGTGAGCCGCTCGTCTCTCGCGTATTCCTCTTTGTCGCTCATTAATTCAACTGCCTCTGTGACTATGCAATTAATCGATGGCCCGTGTATGTTTATGCACGGAATACGTCTGTTACTTGTACACGGTATTCACGGTGGTTGTGGCGATAATGAACGATTCTTTGGATTGATTTATATCGAGCGAAGAGTTTTTCATAAGTAATTAAGTAAATTTCGAAGAAATTTTCATAAGTATATTTTAATTAAAAAATATTAATTCCTTGGAGAACAAGGAAATACGTGAAAATAATAAAATATTGTCCTTTTTTTCGTTAATACTGCTAATTCTAATTCTTAAAACTGTGGTTTAATACAATCACAATTTATAAGATTAATATTATATTAATTTAAATTGAACGCAGCGTCTTTTCAATGATATGACAAACTCCATTACCGTATAATATTCCGTTTATTAGTAGTACGAGCGCTAATTGCAAAATTGCTCGTTAATTACATAAATAAACAAATATTTAGTCCAGGTACCGCAATCCATTAACAGTCAGATTGCACTGGATCGATTGATTTTCTACTAGTTTCATTTCGGTATGGTACCAAGGAGTCTGAACACTATGAAAATTTAACAAAAATTTAACCGTTTTCTAATTAATTCGACGATTAAAACAAGAAGGTTACACGATAATTAATTTTCAATATAAATTACATTTCAATGCTACATTATATGCGTGAACAATTATATTCGAAGAAAGTTGAAAGCAACACGCAACATCTTAAAATATCTGGAGCGACTTAACGATGAAACTAAAAAAAAGAAAAAAGAAGGAAGAAAAAAAAAAGGAACATCACGCGACGTTCGGATGATTCGTTTCAAAAAGAGGCGTACGTGACATTCTTTTCATGGTTTCTTATTTTTCGAAGCGAACGAAAGAGTTTCCGCGGGGGAGAGGAAAGGCGACAAAGAGATCATGGAGCGAGAGAAAGAGAGAGAGAGAGAAAGAGGGAGAGAGAGAAAGAGAGAGAGAGAGAAAGAGAGAGAGAATGGTTCGAGAACAATTGGATGGAGGAAGAGATTTGAAACGAGAGCAGCAACGAGGAGAGGGCCCTGGTACTTTGGCCGTAAAGAAAGGAAAGCATACTTTGAAAGAACTCACCGTGATACGTCCTCCTGAGAAACTGCTCGTGGCGTGGCCGCTCCATGGAGAGCAAGAGAAGACGCGTGACGTGATTCTTGTGAATACGGCAGCGTCGAGTTGTTCTCCAGCGCTGACACGGAACCATTTTGTTTTCCTGTTCACGAGAGAAATGAATGAAAATGGGGGGGTAATTTCGAGGGTGATGTCGATTAATTTAGTTTTTTAAACGCATGAACGATGGAAATTGAGGACAAAAGGGGGAGTGCAAATCGAATTTTGAATTTTTATCTTTTAATATGGTGAAAGCGATGTAATGTAAAAAGAGTTTTGCATTCTTTGGAATTTGATGCAGATCCCCTTTAAAAAATTCATCGAGACAAAGAATTATCGATTTAATAATTGCCTATTGCATGAAATATTTTTTTAAATTTTTCTAAAAACGGATCTGCACCCCTTTTTAAGTTCTGAAGTATTTTGTCGTTCGTTTTTTTCTTTTTACACAACAATAATCATTTAAACAACTATTTTAAATATAAATTTTGTACAAAAAATATATGTACATATAACGTATAATGATATCGTAAATGATATTTTTCGTTCGCAGGAGATTAATACCGGAAATCCGTCGATTAAAGTTATCAGCATATAAATCTCGAGCAAAGATAACACGTACATAGAATTATAATTGAAACATAACTCGGATAAAAATATATATCGTGCTGTTTCCGCAATTTTTGACCGTATTCGAGCTGTTTTACAGTCTCTCGTGTGAAATGTAGGAGGGTTTACGAGCTCGACTTTATGAGCGTCGTGAATAAGTTACGCTCGAGGATCGTTGATGTGGACTGGATATCTGGAGGAATCGAAAATTCATTTGGATGGAAGGGATGGAAGAAAAATAAGTAATCCATGTGTTTATCATTCGCAAGTGAGACCCTTGAGAATTTACGGAAGTGGATTATGTGAAAAATTATTAACGAGGAGATCGATCGATCGTGAATTATATATCTTTGGATATACACCAGACAATTTTCCATTTGGATAATTATTAATTGAGAATACGATCGAGAATTCTTTTTCTTTTGAAATAAATAATTAATAAAAAAATAATTGCACGGAAATTATTACAATTATTATCTATAAATATATATAACGTTATAATTGCTTTTATAGCTACAGCGTGGAATGTTATGGCGATATAAACCGCGAATATAAACATTGTCATTGATATTCAAAATATATCGATTTAACGGAGTCGTGTTCCGGACACGGAGCAGAACGGACGTGTTGCTTTTCGCTCCTCGTAAGAATATCGTATTATTTAATAAATTAATTAATTTCGTGTAAATAATTGCAAATTGATTAATCGTAATTATTATAAACATTGTAAATAAAAATATATTATGGAAGAACGAGTGCCTATCGCAATAATATTATTATACATAATATATTTTGTATTTTTTCAGCCGAATTGCGAGTATATTTATATAAAAAAATTTGTTAACCCATTGTACAAAGTTATAGTAAAATATTAAATATAATTTTAATATTTATATAGAAACAAAATCTTGTTTTAAAATAAAAATTTATGTATAATATTTTAAGCAATTCTTATGAATTGAAAGACATCGTGTAAATACAAATAAAAAAAAAGAAACGTTTCATATTTCTTAATGAAGAATCTGTTTTATATTATTTATATTCAAATTATATTCAATATTTGCTTATTATTATCTTTGTAACAAAGGGTTTATAAACAAACTTTGAATAAAATAATAATAGGAAAGTGAAAAAAATAGCCTGTGTAATATTATATTCGAGGAATGTTACTTTAATATCATCAGAGAATATTAATTTATTTACTTTATATTCCAAATCGACTTTACATACGAGCTACTGAACATTTACATACTGTAAATTTCATATAGCTTCCGTAACTTGCGCATTATTCCACTTCTATCTCCATCATAATGCATATGCGCGATATGGATACGTGTGTAATAAGATAAATTCATTTTTTACGACTTCTAGAAAAGCATACTTCCACGCGTAATATCTCAAATAAATTGTTATCTCGAGAAAAATGTGTGTATATATATATATATACGCGAGAAAATTTTAATAAATCAACACTTTTTCCAAATTTACGAACAAAAACAAAACCTGTCAAAACAAAATTTCAACAATCAACATTATTTACATAACGTATTTTTCCTATTTTCACAAACTTATTTTAATCCACTAACTTTTTATAACATTCAAAAAAAAAAAAAGTGTTTAAAAAGAATCGATCGAATCATTTAAATTACAACATTTAAATTAAGATACGACAAAAATCGTTCGTATATTCGAAAAAAAATTGCATGGAACAAGAACAATAACTTTCACAATTTTTCCAAAATTCTCGCGTTACAATCTAAATTAAGGAAAATCATCGAAAAAGCAACGTATCCGTTCGGCGAAAGAAAAGAATTTCGCGAGTGGAGAGAAAGAGAGAGAGAGAGAGAAAGAGAGAGAGAGAGAGAGAGAGAGAGAGAGAGAGAGAGAGAGAGAGAGACAGAGAGAAAGAGAGAGAGAAAGAGAGAGAAAGAGAACCTCCACTTCCGGTGGACACGAACAAAAGTGACGTTTCTTTCGCGTTGCGTGAAATATTCATTCGTTTTCCGGAGGGCGGCGCCATGAAAATTCGGGGAGAAAAGATCCGCCGAAAATGTGCACGATATAAGGAGGGGGAGGGGAGTCGTGGACACGAATCTAGCGGGTGGTGAATAATATATGTTCGAATGGGATTGCAGGGCTTACGTGGTTGCGGCGAGAGCGAATTGTCCGAGGCTATTGGGGGTGGTGGCGGCGGCACGATTCCGGTTTCCGGTTTCGCCACGAGAAGAACCACGCGATCCTGGGTCGCCTTGAGCGTCGCCACCGCTTCCTCGTGCGTCACGTTCTCCAGGTTCTTGTCGCCCTGCTGGAATCAAAGGAATCCTCTTTTTATCCTCTCCACTCGAGTTGCTCCACGATACTACACACGACACTACAACTCGATACCGTTGAAATGCAATTTAATTTCATTCGGGACTTGCCTTGAAGCTAGCTTTCCTCTCTTTCTTTGGCTTCCGTGTTTGATGACCGGCGTGGGTTTAAGAAATTAAGGCCAATCACAAACGTTTGCGATCGTTTAAGAGAGGAAAAATATCTTTTCGATTCTTTAATTCGAAATTTCATTTTATTTTATACTTTCGTTTTTAATAAATTATTAATGGTTCTTGAGGGTTATTAGAGGGTATTTTTGTGTACAGAGTGTAGGTAAATGTTAAAAGTGTAAATAAGGTTAAAGTGATTCTAAAAAAAAAAAGAGAACTTTCGATTTTTCCGTCTGATTTTTTTAATTGATTAAATTTTGAAAATGAAAAGATTTTACGCGTGACAATAGATATCGAAAAATAAAGTAGCTTATTGTAAAGTAGCTTATTAACGAAACAGATATTTTTTTTTAGAGTTTTGAGAATTACAAAATCTCGCGAATAAATTAATCGTTTAAAAATAAAAGGGAATAATAATTTAAGCTCGAACGAATGCGATAAACTCTATCGTTCATTGTCGTTTTATTTCTAACTATTAAATCTTCTGTTTCAGTTTTCCACGACGAAAATGGATAAGAGCGAAATCGACCAAGAAAAAACATAAAAAGTCGTTCTCTTCTGGAGTATCGATCAAGATATTTCAATAACGATAATCGATTTTCTATTCAATTTCTCTTGTCAATCATCATTTACATTTTTACACCTTGAGATGGATTATCGAACAAATATCGCGAGAATTGTGCATTCTTTACTCGTTATCCTTATTAAGGGATGAAGAGCGTGAAACGTCATCAACGATATCTCGTTTCATAGGTAAGGAACGAGCAGAGAAGGATAAAAATAGAGGGATAAAAGATTCGGTGAAGGATTAAAATTTTATTTTATTCTGTGTATGAAATATCCAGTTTATAGGATATTCTGTAGAAGATAACAGGGAAGAGAATTAATGTAGATCGGATTGTAGATTTTTTTTTTTTTTACCTCGCGATAAATTAGAAGAAGATAAATATCCAAGCGACTGAACAAACAACGAAAATAAATTTTTCAAACGATCGTATTTTTTTATTCCTGTACTTTTTGTTGCGAATTTCTTTTTTTTTTTTATCGTACAATAGAAGTTTGTTCATATACGAATCTAATAGAAAATCTGATCGTTATTTTCTATTTAATAAAAAAATATTTCAAATATACGTTCTTTCAAAATTTTATTTTTTAAACATTGCTCTTCAATGGTGAGAAACAAAGCAAAATTTTAAAATGCAAAGGATTTAGCTCTCTCTCACCTTGCTATTAAAAAAAGTTCTCAAAAGATGGAAGAGTTCTGAAACTTTAAGATCTTTGATCTTATCCTCTCAAAAAAAAATTGTTCCATTTATAACTTGCTGTGCTCTACGAATTTCCATTAAAAATTTGAATTAGATAGTTTTCTCTGTGGAGCTCGTCCAAAAACCAAGTTTTCGATCGAAAAATAGAATCGCTGGTAATTATACGAAGATACATGATACAAAAGAAAAAAAAGAAGGACAATATTGAAGTTTACTGGACCTGTCATAAACAAGTGACGAACTTTCTGCTCTGTTCCTTGTTCAAATGTATGCGCAATCACGCGCAAAGTTAAATCGACTTGCGATCCATCCTTCTACTACCGGTGTCTACCAAAACTTTGGAATAAATCGTTCCACGAAAGGAGTCGAAAGAAGCTCAATCTATTCACGACAGGCCTTGTCGTTTCTTTTTTCTTCTTCTTCTTTTTCTAAACAATTTATCGCAACTTTGCGAGAGGCGCAACAACGATAAATCCAAGGCAAAATAAGTGATATCACTTATTGAAATGGTTTAATAATCGTCGCAATTGCGATTTTCTTCGTCCAAGACCGCGTCGTGGTCGCATTGAGGTCCCTGTTTCGCGATTTTCACGATTCACGAATCAACGAGGCCGGGTGTAACCGCTTTAATCGCAGCTTTTTCGACCAGCCAGCCTCTCGAGAGGGAAGCTCTCGAAGAAAAGAGAGCTCGTCGATGCGAAAAATCGGGAACGAGGGCTCTCTGCACTCGCGACCGTTGCAACGAGCCGTGGATCGTTGATGGAACACCTATCAATTACTCGTCGCACATCAAAAACCACTCCGATCTATTTTTCACGTGGCCCTCTCCTCCGTAGTCCCTCTGGTGGACAACCAGGATGGATCTGGAGGATATTTCTGAATTTCGACTTCAAATTCGATTCGAAAATTCAAATTATTTGAATTTATGAGACAGATTTATCGAATATTTATCAAGTTTTTTGAAAAATCTTTGGAGGATTTCCTCTTCTAAAAGACGTTTCTCCCTCGAGGGGATTTTATTATTTTGTTAGTGGAGATAAAGTTGGAGATGAAGTTGGATAAATTGTGCCCCGGCTACGAAAAATTACGCGATTACGTTTCTTCGCTCGAGTGAAGAATATATTTCTTCTTTGTTCCCGGCAAACCTATTTTGCATGAAGAATCCTCTAATCAAGAGCACAGTTCCTCCTCTGGCCGGACCAGAATGGTAAAAACCGTGAGATCATCAATCAGATTATAAGAGTATAAATGGCACTCTAACTACGATTGATCTCGAACTAGTACTCTGCTGAATATTTTACATTTACCTTTTAATGTATGAATTTTTATCATCCATTATATACAAGATAGCCTTACAGCCTTTTGTAAAATAATTTTTATTGAAAAAAATCTCTTTAATCTGGAATATAATTTCACAATTATATATATTATCACGAAGAATTAACTTGATTCCAAAGAATTTTAAAATTCGCATCTCGAGATAATAAACGCGCTTAAGTAATACACGATTCAAATGACTAATTATTAATTCACGGAACAGAAGGATTCGAGGATAATTTTATTATTAGCAGGAAACAGTGAAAGGAAGATGGAAGAAGTATATAATTTTTAAACTCACCAGAGCATTCCTGACGGCCACCAATTTGTCCCCAACGACAAGACGGCCATCCACTTGTGCGGCACCGCCCTCCATAATTTTCGTTACGTAGATCCCATTGTCGCCAGGTATATGCTGATTGCCGATACCACCGGCGATACTGAAACCGAGTCCCTTGTTACCCTTAATTAGCTCGATTTCGATCAGCTGCGTGTGTCTCCGTCGGCGTACGTACTGGAAATTAATTGAAATAGCCACTTACATCATCGTACATAGATACATCGTGAAAGCAAAAATTTTCTAAAAGCGAAATATTATTTTTAAATACTTTTTCTCTTAAAGAGAAAACACTGGTCATTAAGAACAAATTTGACTGGAAAATATCTCGATTCATTGGAACAAGGAATTAATTTTTCGACGCTTAGAATAACGTGACAAAATTTGGAACGAACAAAATAGATTCAACGTGAAGTAGATTCCTAATTCATCTCAACATTCTCAAATCTATTATCGAAAGCAACGATTGACCGAATCAAGGCAAATCGCTAAGAGTTTAGAGATCGAACGAGCTTTGTTCGAGAAACTTTCGTTAACTATGCGGCCATTAAATTTCGAGAAATTAAATGGAGCGACGCTGCATAATTAAGATTTCACTTTCACGGGGTTGGGTTCCGTTTACAGCGGTGCGCCGAGACGACATAAATTTAATTAAAATCGGCCCTGTATATACGAAACGCAGTTAAAATTTCACTTTAACCTTAAGCCTCCTCTTAAGGGCCGTTTCGAGGATATTACCAAGGAGGGGCGAGATGTGAAATAATAATATCGTAACGCTTTTATGCTTGCCCTGTGTGCCTATTTTTTCGCCACTCGAAAATGCTTAATACAACGCAGGTGCGACTCTACGAGAGAGAGAGAGAGAGAGAGACGAATTGCGTTTCATCGAGTTTGAAAAAGGAAAATATTACTCATTCTTTATTTTTTTTTTTTTTCAGGATCGTTCAATTGTTTGGCGGTTAGAATATCGCAGATCTTAGGAGATATCAAGTACTATTTTTTCGCCACTCGAAAATGCTTAATACAACGCAGGTGCGACTCTACGAGAGAAAGAGAGAGACGAATTGCGTTTCATCGAGTTTGAAAAAGGAAAATACTACCATATACTCATTCTTTATTTTCTTTTTTTTTCAGGATCGTTCAATTGTTTGGCGGTTGGAATGTCGCAGATCTTAGGAGATATCAAGTACTAACTAGTATTAGTACCAGTATTATTTCACAAAGGGGTTGAAGGTGTTCTCGGTTTTCAAGAGATACTGCATTGTCGGCGATTATTCCACGCAGAGCTTGGAAGCACTCAGATAATAATTGGACGCCAAAAACGGATTCTTTTCCGACTAGACGTGTTCTTCATTGTCATGGAGACGTTTCAAATCTTTCTCCCACTTTCTTTAATCGATTCATGAATATTTAAAAAGAAAATTATTAGATATAGATAATTCCATCCCCATTAATAACAATAATAATCCAGAACTATGGAAATTTTGTATAAAATGAAGTACACGGATGGAAGTATTATGGATATAAATTTCATTTCGATTATTAATTGAGATTATGGAATTATGAAATTTTATATTGATTTTAAGTACATTACTTAATGGAATCTGATCAAGAGAAATTCCAACGGGACAATCAATGAAGAACGTCGTTGGTGGTAAAAGAATAAAATTAAAATAATATTTTCAAGTAGTTGAAAGTTACGCGTTCTTCCTAATAATTTCATGGAATTTCTACTCGTTAAATAACCGATGATACGTCGCTTTCATACGTGAATTCATTTTTGAACATAAAAATATATCCGACGGGATGTTCCATTAGATAATTGGTTATAAGATACGTTAAGATAAATTAAATGGAAAATTTAAAAGTATGATGATAACTCGATGTTAAAAAAGTTAATAGAAAAGAAAATTCCACATTTTCGAAAACACTTTACGTTAAACATATTTTTTTCCACGAGCAACCTGTTGTATCTCGTACAGTTTCTCTTCAAAAATCTTAAAAAAAAAAAGCTCCTTATCGAAATCTTGGAATGGGACAAGAGAATAAAAATCTGTTCGAAGAAATTCTGTGTCGTGCATATAACGATCCAGGTTGGATGATTGGAACAGAGAATAAATAAAAAAAAGAAAAACTCACTAGTTTAACGGTGTTCCCTGCCCGTTTGAGCGCGTCGACGGCAGCCGCGTGTGGTACGTCGACTACGGAAACGTCGTTCACCTGGAGTATCGTGTCGTTGACGCGTAAACGGCCGTCAGCGGACGCTGCACCGCCGGGTATAAGTTTCGTGATGTAAATGGCAGTGTCGTTGCCGAAGTGTGGATTGTCCGTGCCCCCAGCGATGCTGAAACCAAGCCCGGCGCCACCCCTTTCGAGCACGATCTCCTCGTACTCCCAGTCATCGTCTCCGTTCACCTGTTCACCATCAAATCATTTTTTCAAAACAAAATAATCAAATATCATCCGTGGATATTTAACGAATGAAAAAAGGGACTTAAAAATATAACGATTCTATGAATTCAAAAGATTGAGAAGATAAAAAAAAGGGAGAAGGGGAGGGGGGACAATTTGGATTTAATTTTCAGATAATAATAATGGATAATTAAAAAAAAAAGAAAAAAGTTGTAACGTGATATCAAAGATGTATCAGTCAAGTATTATATCTATCGGTGCAGTTATCTAAATTATTAACCTGGCTATGAATCGTAATGTAAATATCTTGTCGAGATATGTTCAACATGATAAAAATGATCCAATGAGATTGTTGAAGTGCGAAACGAACGTGGCGCGAAGGAAAGCGAGGTATTACATAAGGTAATCCGGCACGGGTCAATTCCTAATTACACGAGGGACTAAGCTCTCCCTGGAACGAAGGAGTTAATTGATTTTGAGACCCGCAGAGGAGTAGATTAGCTCTCGAATCCAGATCGATTGTGGTGGGTTATATATATATATATATATATATATATATATATATGTTCGTAGTTATTGCTGGAATGGATATATCGATTAATGATGCCATAATCTGTCGTAATTGTGAGATTATCACGGAACAAGATTGATCAAGTGAGCGCGCGTCTAACAATTGCTCGGCCTGCATTTAACACGATTATATCAAGTATTCAACCACGTGGAAAAAGAGAATACAATCGTTCTTCTCACGAGACAAATGGAATTAGCCAATAATAACTTGTGATGATCAAATTCTCTCAATTATAATAAAAGATAATCGTTCCTTGCGATTAAAAACAAATAACGATACGTTGTAACGCAGCGTATGACTCATAAAAGACGGTTAATTATTGCGTGATTTATCGTGAAAATTAAATTATTTTAATACACCCAGAAGAATCTATAAAATTCGAACGAACCAACGCTGTAATTGCTTGTTCGAATCAACTCGACAACCATAACCTTCATCTTTAACGAGCTACAACTCACGTGTTCCAACGTGAGCAAACAGCGAACACGCGCTTTATCAACACGCTTATCGATCAGTGAGAATAAAAAGTGCCCGGTCTCTTCGAATCTATCCAGGAGGGGGAGGAGAAGATGGATGATATATCGATCGAAGGAATCTTCAAACCACGCAAACCACGAGGCGTTCCCTCAACGAGCGCCAGTTGGTGCATCGCGAGTGGCCCAAGTACTATCGGCGTACAAACACACGAGAGCCGTACGATGGATAGATTTGACGAGGATGGGTGCATCGCCTGCGGAATCGTGAATTAATCGTCCCCGAATTACCATTCCATGGAGCCGGTACAGATGGAGCGGCTGGCTCGTTAACCGGAAGTCCTCGTTACACCGGCGGAGTAACAGAGTTGTTCGATCCGGGCGGCACGGTTGACGTTACGATGCAATTATGGTAACCGGCTAATCGACGATTGGCCAACTGAGTCGAGGTGAATGGCATCCATAATTAATCCGAGTTGCGTTCCGAGGTTGGAAGAAGATCTGAGGCGAGGTGATATTGCTCGTGATGATGGCGATGGTGCGCGATAATCGTGAAATATCGTCGCACACCTGCCGCGTGCGTGAAATGACGAATCAGGGAAGTGACGTTTCATTGGGATTCGGAATGGAATGGAAGCGTGTCTTTTTCACTACGTCGGGCTCGAGAGATTATTACTCGTTTCTATTCGGATTTTATTTCATTCTGTGGAAATTAGAAGATATATATGTGTGCATTTTCGTTTGTTAATATTTGGTAAACTCGTGCATTCGTCGCGAATAATCTGGCAAGTTTAAACTTGTAAACTCGTTCATTTTTGTGAAGCATTAGTGCCAGAGAGAGTGCTCTTAATGAACGGCTTACTTACATTTTTTGCTATATATACATTTCAATGATATAGAAATCATTTCAATATCGTGCCATTCATTTCACAATCAAGATTTCACAAACAAGAAAATTTGGAAATTTAAATTGAAGAAATTGTCGATTTACCATTTTATATGATCCGTTCACCATGGTGGTCGTCATCGTGCGCGTCGATCCAACGTGATTGCCAACATTTTATTTTTTTAAAACACCACTAAACCAAGAAAAACCGTGCCAAAGTTTATAGACCATCGAATCCGATACAACTTTTTGTCCACGTTCGCTCGAATCCGCTCGAACCTCGTATATATCAGATATATATATCAGATACCAGATATCGCTCGTTGTATCGCCGCGCTTGTATTTTTATCGCGCTTTAACGCGAACGAAAATTTCATTCATATCCATCGAAGGCTTATATACCCGGGGGGAGGGGAGGGAAAAAGACGTGTTTCACTCGGGGGCCTCTCCCGGAGAAAAAAAAAAAAAAAAAATGGTCGGGTGCTGTTCCTGCCCAGGGGAAAATAATGCATAAATCACGCGGATTATTTACGACGCGGCAGCACGGCAACGTATTATCAAGTAATAATCAGTATCGGAGCGTTGCGTAATACCGTGGAAAATTCATGTTGGAAGCGGAGATTAATACGGTGTTGACGGTTTGCATAAATCCTCCCAGTTACCTTAAACGTGCCGCGATACCGTGATCGGATTATTTTTCGTCCTGGTTTATTCGAAAATTTGTTCAAAAAATATTATTAGTATCGATAAATTTAAAATAATAATAATAATAATAATAATAATGAAAAATATAATGGAATTTTTTTATTAACTGGGGATTTCTTAATATTAAGAAATTTCGTTTTGTTTTGGAAACAGAAGATAATTGAAAGGCAAGATTTATTAAGTAATCAAGAGTTTTAGTGTCTTTTTGAAATAACTATTCTTTAGTTTTCGCTTGGGGAAAATATTATTAATAATTTCGAGAGATAAAAATTCTTTTTCTTCTTCTTTTTCTTTTCCTCTATTTTTATAATTCTATATGAATACGATTGTATAATAAGTTACACGTACAATAATTTCAAGACAAAAAGATGAGATCGTATTCTCAAACGACGAGAATATTTTCAATTGATTCTTTATTTTCTTTTTTTTTTACCATATATATTTTTCCAATTATAAAAGGATATACAACATTTTCGATTATCCTTATATAAGGATATAAGATATTAAAATTTAAGCGAAACAAGAGAATACACAAATGTGGAATACCACGGCCAACACAAACCGCGATGGAAAATGACAACACAGATCGTCATTGTAAAATCAAAATATTCGATTCAACGGAGTCGTTCTCGGGACACGGAGCAGAACGGACGCGTTTCGTACCGTTCCTCGCAACAATTAATTTCCCTTCAACAATTACAAACCAATCAAATACTATTATTCCAAATAAAAAGCATGGAATGCTAACAAAAAAAAAAAAAAAAAAAAAAAAAAGGAATACACAGAATCTCAAAATTCATCTTATTAATCAAGATTCTAACTCGATCAAACATCCTTCAAATAGAATCTTAAAAAAGAATCTTAAGAGGTCCACCTTATACTACAGCCAACTGTGTATCGAACAACAAGTAGCCACTCGTACCGCGACAACGAAGAGGCACGACGAAGCGGATCACGAGGGACGGGTCCACGTGATTTCACCGCGTGATTGCACAATCGCGTGGGGCACGCGATCGATCGAAGCAGCTGCTCCACTACGAGCCACGATCACGACTGAAACGGCGCGAGAGTTTCTCAACAAGTTCCTCGAAGGCTGGGAAACGCGAAACTGCGACGAGTTCCGGTGACGACGGGCAGGAAGGCAAGAAGTAACGTTATCCGGTCCCGTTCCCGTTCCTGCGGACACGCGTCACACGCAACGAAACCGTCCACCGTCTCGCCACCGTCCGACTCTCGACTGCGCTCGCCCGCTCGCTCGCGCGGGCTCGAGCCACGCCAGTCATCGCTATTATAATATTAGACCAGTGGCCGGCTATTTCCAACCGACTGTGAAAATATACCCGACGGCACGCGTGCGGGAGACGGATTCGATGAGACGAGCGATGGCCACTCACATTCAGAGAGGGATCAGGGAAGGGGGGTTGGATATTGGAGAGTCGGGGGATGGGAGAAAATGACGGATTTTGCTTCAACTTCTCTCCTTTAAGAAATTTTAAATTTTCTCATCTTGGAAATTGTTCGGCGTGTAAATCATTGATTTACATTAGGGGAGATGCGAGATTTTATCGCGTATATTCCGAGTTTTATTAAAATTTTGAGCGATATTTAAGATAGGCACACGCGTAACAAAGAAATAAGATTCCAGGAATTCCTTCGATTTTTGACGAAGAAATTCCGTGGTATCTCTGGTTCGATATTCGATCCCTAGATTTTGTGTTTCCGGTGTATGTTCTGGATTATGGGTTTTTTTTTCTCGGAGAGTGATCGAGTATTTTAAGACTAAGTTGAGTAGAGATAAAAATAGAGATTGGGAATTGTGCGCTAAGGAAGTTGTTTCGCGGTGGTGATTTGTTCGGTGAGTTTGATTGGAGATTTTTCTTTTTTTAATATACACGCCCCGTTACCTTTTTTAAAAAAATCACACGAATCTAAAATGAAAAAGAAACTTTAGATCTACGTTACGGCAAAAGCATTATATTTTTCACGATATAACAACAATTATCGGAGAAAACAATTTAAGACGCGATTCTTTTTTATTCCACGAATTTTCGAAATATCCTATTAACCAGAATACAATACCTCGAATGAGATTGTTATTCTTTCGTGCGTCAACTTGTTAACTATATAACACAGAGCTGAAAATACACGAGAGATTAAACGAAAACGATCCGAACGATTTCGGTGATCGCGCAGGGGACGGATTAATCGAGGCACGCCTGTAATTCAGTTAGACAGAATTCGCGGAAGTTTCGACGGGGGTGGGTCTCCACGTGGATCCACGACGATAGACACGGTGGCCCCGGAATCTTGGCTCGAGAAACTCGACTCGGGCCGGATCGTGTGCCGTTCGTGTTTCGAATTAACATCG